TCAAATCTGAGATTTTCGATGACAAATTCTGAGAATTATGATCTTCAATTCTGAGAACTTTGGTCTCAAATTCTGAGAACTTTGGTCTCAAATTCTGAGAATTTCAATGTCAAATTCTGAGAATTGTAATCTTCAATTCTGAGAATTCTGATCTTGGTTTCTGAGAATTTTGATGACAAATTCTGAGAATTTTGGTTTTGAATTCTGAGAACTTTGATCTCAAATTCTAAAAATTTCGATGTAAAATTCTGAGAATTTTGATGTCAAATTCTGCGATTTAGACGAAAAATTCTGAGAATCTGATCTCAAATTCTGAGAATTTTGATCTCAAATTCTGAGAATTTTGATCTTTAATTTTGAGAATTTTGATCTTGAATTCTGAGAACTTTGATCACAAATTCTGAGAATTATGATCTTGAATTCTGAAAATTTTGATATTGAGCTCTGAGAATTCTGATCTTGAATTTTAAGAATTTTGATCTTAAAATCTGAGATTTTCGATGACAAATTCTGAGAATTATGATCTTCAATTCTGAGAACTTTGATCTCAAATTCTGAGAATTTCAATGTCAAATTCTGAGAATTGTAATCTTCAATTCTGAGAATTCTGATCTTGGTTTCTGAGAATTTTGATCTCAAATATTGAGAATTCTGATCTGAGAACTTTGATGACAAATTCTGAGAATTTTGATCTCAAACTCTGAGAATTTTGATCTCAAACTCTGAGAACTTTGATGACAAATTCTGAGAATTTTGTTCTTGATTTATCCAATTTAAAAGAAATGAATGCAAAAATCCATTTGTTCTCAAATCTAGTTCAACAAATCATCCCGCAGCGCACCAATCAACCCACATAACCTCCAAAATCTCATCTCAAATTAATTAACTTCTACAAAATAAAAATCTAATAACAGAAAAGCTAACAAAGAAGAAGAAAAGTCAGCAGAAAAAAAATCCAATTTATGAGCATAGATTATCCACATAAATGCACAATTTCCAGCTCCACTATAATTTTATATATATATTTTTTTTTCATTGATAAAACAACACGTTTCTCATGGTAATTAAACAATTTTTCATTTAAAAAATAAATATTTGCCAGCTATCATTTCGTGTCACTTTGAACGCAATACAATGTTTACAATGTTCACAGCCAAAACTGCACAGTCGCATAATAATAAGGCTTTTGCATAAATTAGTAGCATCAGAATGAAGCGAGCAGTGGAGAAAATGTCATTGTTCACTTTACAGCAGCACTTTACCGCCTCGACTTCTTTTCATATTTCCTCTGTTCTTTTTTTTTTGTTTTTTCAGTTCCTCCACCTCCAATGTCTTTTGTATATCCGACAACTTTCCTGAATATTTTAATATATTTACGCTAGATACTTTCGCAGTCATACTCAACGAGTCAAGGAATGAATAGAAAGTATTTGATGAGAAAAAAAAATGGGATTGAAAGTCATTGTGGATTGATGGATAGGGAGCAGAATGTGGATGTCCTGAATTTTAGACTGTGTCAGTTAAGTTCTTGAGTTTAAAGACTTGGAGAATTTTTAATGTTAATTAATTAGGTTTCTAAAGGTAAGCTAAAGTAACTCGGTGGCTTAATGGTTTAGTACTTTGACATTTAATCAATGCAACACAGTGGTCATGGGTTCGAGACTCGACAGGGAAAATTCGTGAAATATCAATTTTTTTCAATCAAATGTTCACGATTTGAAGCACACACGCTGTTTAATAGTCTAAAGTCTTATATGAAATCAAAGAAAGGAGTTCCTTTACAAAAATGACCTTTACCTTAGCTTGTAATTCTAAGAAGCTTTGCTAAAGCAGCTCCGATTTTGTGTAAAGCATTCCTAGACCCTAGACCAAGATTATAACTTTGGCGCCAAAAGTCAAATTTCTCATATTAATTAAATGCTGGAATTTAATAAAATAATAATAATATCTAGTCAAGCTCTCCCATAATCCAAACTGAACACACAAGCTTAACAAATTCTCTTTATATTACGATTCGGACGGATGAAGTGAAAAGAATTTTTTGTGTTATTTCATCTCCAGCACAGTTTAGATGATGAGTATTAATTTATTTCAAATTGAAAAGAAACTTCCACTTGTGGATGAAGCGAACAGTTGAGAAATAAAAAAAATTTCATTTTAATATTTAATGTAGATATTTCATTCATTTTCATTGCTGTATAAAAAAATATTTAAAATGGAAATTGCTTTGAAATAAAATATAAAAAAAAATCCTCGCTCAATTTTAATTCACTGAGGAGAAATTTTTCTATAAAACCGAAGCCATTATTCCTCTATATACAGCAGTTTTGTTGTGTGGAAGTAGTTTTTTTTGGTTGAAGTTATAAAAAACAATAATCATAAATTTATCTTCAGAAACAACTGAATATGTAATTAGTTTTAAGTATATGCAGGCTGCATTCTTTTTTATCCCTTTTACTACTGCTGCTGCTGCCAATATATGAGGAAGAAAAGACAGCAGAATTAAAAATATTGTTGTATATTTTTAGACGTAGAGGAAGGAAATGTTAACATTATTGAGCCTCAAGAGAAGCAAAAATGTTTCGAAAAATAAAAAAAAAAGTTTTAGTTCAATCTACAGTTCATTATTGAGGTTGAAAGCAATACAAAACTAAAGGAAAAAGCATTTCATGAAAAAGAGATTAAATGGAATTTTTTCTGTGAGAGAAAAGGAAAAGTGGCGAGTAATTAAGAGCATTGTGTGATTGATGGACTAGAACGCAATGTTTTGAGGTTCAGCAGTAATTGGTCTATGTTTAAGTTCAATTGTATTTGATTTTTAAAATGGCACGCGATTAGTGATGCTTTATAAAGCATTAAGAGACATAAAATATTACTTTAGTCTACTTTAAACCAATATAAAATACTACAATCTACTTTAATCTAGTACAGTCTAGTATAATCTAGTACGATCTACTATCATCTAGTACAATCTACTATAATCTAGTACAATCTACTATAATCTGGTGTGTATTGCTATAATCTCCTACAATTAACTCTTTTTAATACTAAAATCTAGAACGAAGTACTATAATATAGTACAATCTACTAGAATCTTTTACAGAGTACTAGATTCTACTCCAAACCACTACAATCTTCTATAATCTAGTACAACTTGCTTTAATATACTATAATCTACCATGAAATCTACTTCAATCTCCTACAATTAACTATAATGTACATTAATCTAGTATAATCAACTATAATCTAGTGCAATCTAATTTAATTTAGTACAATCTACTACAATGTAGTACGTATTGCTATAATCTCCTACAATTAACTCTGTTTAATACTAAAATCTAGTACGAAGTACTATAATCTAGTATAATCTACTAGAATCTTTTACAGAGTACTAGATTCTACTCCAAACCACTACAATCTTCTATAATCTAGTACAACTTGCTTTAATATACTATAATCTACCATGAAATCTACTTCAATCTCCTACAATTAACTATAATGTACATTAATCTAGTATAATCAACTATAATCTAGTGCAATCTACTTTAATTTAGTACAATCTACTACAATGTAGTACGTATTGCTATAATCTCCTACAATTAACTCTGTTTAATACTAAAATCTAGTACGAAGTACTATAATCTAGTATAATCTACTAGAATCTTTTACAGAGTACTAGATTCTACTCCAAACCACTACAATCTTCTATAATCTAGTAAAACTTGCTTTAATCTACTATAGTCTACCATAAAATCTACTACAATCTACTACAATGAACTATAATCTACTTTAATCTAGTATAATCAACTATAATCTACTGTAATCCAAACTGAATAATCCAAACCAATTCATACCTCAAAATTCTCTGCTAAAAAGTCCTCTTCAAGCCCTTCGGAAAAAGGAAGGAACAAAAAGAAGTAAAAAGTCCCCTCCTATGCCATCTATTTTACCTCATTGCAATCGAAATTGTTTATGTTTCAAATATGTTTGAGTGAGAAAAGTTTTGTGAATCGAAGAATAGGAAGATTAAATAAGCAACATTTATATTCCAATACATTATTCCAAATTCTATTATTGCCAACTGCAATGCAATTGAAAAGACGTAAAGTGGTGCAAAAATTGTTTCAAATATAAACAGCCAAGGTGTAAAAAATCAATTTCTCATCTAGGAAAAAGCTGATGAAATGAAAGAAAAAAAGCTTAAGTAAATATTTTGGAGATCAAATTCAATCAGAGAGAAATTTTGTGTGTGAGAGAGTATATATACAGCACAAATAAATTGAAAACCATTAAAATTCATCGCTGCTTGCAGACACAAATAAATTGAAACCAAATAAAAGGAAAAGAAAGGAAGGATCTGAGAAAAATAAAATATATATACAGGAATAAAGAATTTTTTGTGTTTACTTTTCTCTGTGTTTCTATGAATATGGTCTGAATGTTTTGATTTTTAGTCTACTTTGGACGGTAAACTCAAAGGAGGATTTCATTTTTATTTTTTATTGTAGAGTTGAATGAATGGATGAATATTTAAGTTTTAGTTTGAAGATGTTTGGATGAATTTGTTTGATTCTTTAACTTTCAGAGCTTCTGGATTAGTTGGTGATGGCGATGCTGTCTCTAGCCTGATTTATGAGGAGTCCTTACATTTTTAACATTCTTAAACAGTTAACAAGTTGAATATGATCGCTAGCAAGAGTTGCTCAGTATTAACTAGGATTATTCTACGTCAGTGATGGAGAATCTTTGTTCAGTTGTTCAATGCTGTGTTCGAAAAGGATGCTCAAGTGTCTCAAAGAACAGATTAGAAGTACAGCTTAGGTACTCGGATGCATACATTAGTTTCACAAGGTAAGGAATACAAAAGTATGACCTAAGTGTATTAATTACTTAAACTACCAGTCTCAGAAAAAGATTTATCGAATCAAATCTTAGCTACAGTAACAGCTTCCTGAAATAAATCGTCATCACTTTTATTTTTAAAAGACAAACTTTTACTTCAGCATTTTTATTCACAAAATTCTTTCAAAAAAAATTTCGCATCTCAATTTTCAAAACACCGAAGCCGCGCACAGCACAAAACTAAACTACAAAATCAAAAAAAAATCTATCCATGTCTAGGTTTGCAACCAATATCAATTCTCTTGACCATTTCCTTAAATTTATTAACCCGATACGATCCCGAAATGCAAGGATTACCGCGCAAATCTATATACTTTAAGTACCTCATATTATCAAACGTTTTCGAACTTAATTCCTGAATTTTATTACGACTCATCCAAATGTACTCAATATTCTTGTTATTCTTAAAATGATTTTCATTCAATACCCGAATGTTGTTGTTGCTAAGCGATACATTTCGTAGCTCTATTAAATTATCGAATATGCCTTCATAAATGTAATCGATTAAATTTTCCTTCATGTTGATGCTTCTTAAATTTTCAAGCGTTTCAAATGTTCGTTCCTCGACATATGTCAATTCATTTCCATATAAATGGATGTGCTGAAGATGAATTAATGCTCTAAATGTATCGTACGGTATGTGTCTTAACTGATTTTGCTGAAGACCTACGAATTGAAGCTTGTCAAGTCGTTCGAAATTTTCTCTCTTGACTGCTCGCAATGAGCAATCAAAGACTTCATATGCAACGAGATTTGGAAATACATTATAGACTTTTATAGGCAGGTATGCAATCTTCTTATTCCCTTCGAATGAAATTGCTTCAGTCGTTTCCGATCGCTTTGCGAATATCATAAAGTCTTGTGCATAAATTGTCTCATTTTGAAGGACATTGAATGTGCAATATCTCATGCTAAGAATCGTCCATACATTTTGGCTATTATATCCACGAATGTATTTTTGCTGACTGACGGTTTTATCACAGAATGCAATTAGGATGATAAGAACTATCAAGTGATTCACTCTATTGAGGTAGAAAAAATGCAGAAATTTAGACAAAAAAATTAATTTTGCACTTCACAAGTAACTCACAGTTTCATCTTGCTATGACTATGAATCCACACCAAATAAAAATATGATTTCGACACTCCTAGAACTTATCAAGAACTGAGAGTCTCAATGTCATATACTCTCTATTTATTCACAAATGTATTAAATTAATTGATTTTCGTTTGTTAATAAATGATTTGGAATATGGAACTATGTGGACTAGCTGATATAAGAATTTTGATTGTAAGGGCTTGGAACTCATGATTTTTGATCAAATAATACTTCAAATCAGGAGCTGAAGAATTTTATAGAACGTCCTTTAGCAAAATTCTGGAACCGGGGGACACACCTTAGTCACATTGAACATTATGTGAAACTTCTAGATTCTAGTGTTGTCCAAACTTTTTGAGCCACGACATACTTGAAGGGTAAGCAATGACTGAAGTTGCACTCATCATTGTCGCTGATCTATAAGAAACTACTGCGACCATAACATGTCAGTAAGCAATAGCCACGATTCTATTTTGAACTTACGATCATTCCTTTTTTCGTGAATCATCAGAGCATTCTGAAATACACAAATACATCAACTAAATTCTAAACTGATCAATTTTGCCTTGTATGTTACTATGCATCATGCAACATTATACGATCATATATATTCATGACAATATATCGTTCCTAATAGTCCACGCGTTATATACTTCAACATTAAATTAGGCTCATTGACGTTGATCTTTGAAGTTTGCCTACAATCAAAAAATTAAATTGGACTTCATTGATTTTATTGCGATTAGTTAAGATTTTGATCTATAAATAAATGGAACAATGTTTGGTGTCTAAGTGACTTAAAAATCTAACAAGGTCAGACAGTTTGGAAATTTCCACGATGAATTCAGATTGACAATCAGTTCTAGAAAGTTCTGTAGATTGACTGGAAGTTTATTTTGTAAAATTGGAAGTTTGAAGTTATTTTGGATGTCCTAGACAAGAATTGAGGATTGTTGTAGACAAAAATGTTTGGAAACCCAAGATTCTTACTTTAATCCGTTTAAATCTCCAAGCAATAACCACAAATTTACACAATTCACCATAATCCCTCAAATAAAAGGCAAAGCCTAAGCCATAAATTCCCAAATAAAACACAAGAAAAAATCCACATCAATAAATTTTAAAACTTTGAAGAAGATTCTCCAAGAAAACACGTAAAAAAATTGTCTTAACAGCCATAATTCTATTTATTAAATTAAGATCGAAGGGAAGAGCTTGTGTGTACATACTCATAAAGTATGTTTGTATGCAGTATATGCTTCATTTCTGCAAGCAGGAAAAAAATAACGTAAGCAATAAAAAAGGACAATAAAATAAAATTGTCTCAATTTGTAATGTGCAAAAATAAGAAAAATGCTTTTGTAAATAACTTAGAAGGATAAAAAAAAACCTGAGCCAACAGATTCATAAGCAAACCTCCTGATCGGAATTTATTATTTCAAAAATCAAGCTTTATGATGCAGAGAAATAGAAGAAAAAAAAATTTGAGAGAATAGAAAAAGGACACAAACAAAATTCTTTGCCAATTTTCCTGCATTTTTTTCGTCATTTCTTTGATTTTATTAAGTAGAATATTTTTGGTCATTTTTCTGCTTGTGGGTTTTTGAGACTCATAATAATTTCCTTACTTTCAATTGATTTATTTTCTTTTTTGTGTACTGACTTTTAGGGATGATGAGGGTAGTAATGGACGGTTTAGACTGTATAAATATTAAAATTGACGAAATTGTCGATTAAATCGAATTTTACATTTATCAATAGCTTGTTTGATTTCTAGGCACTACAACATACTTGAATAAGATAAGATTTTAGTTGTTTATCAGTTAAATACTTCAGTAAAGTTGTTGGTAGAGCGTTTGACTCAAGTATGAAGAAGAATTTAAACTCGTTGGTTCAAATCCTGCCATCCTAAAGTTAATACTTTTTTAGATGCTTTAAACGCTTAATAAGCTTAATCTAGATAAGATCGAAGCTCTGTGCAACGTTAGATCAAGGTATGGATCAGAAACTAGGAGTGAAAATAAGAAAGAAAGGAACAAAAGCTACAAAATTGTCTTACAAACATAATAATTATAAAACAGACTTATCCTTGAACCCTAAATTGTATTCAAAATACTACAACGTCAATTGAACTAATTCAAGCAAAGACTAGCTAAGATGAGGAATATCCAAATCCTCGTGACCCATATCAACTCCTCAAATTTCCAGAAAACTCAATATTCAACAAAAAATGCGCCAAAATCCCTCAAAAACTTCCCAAACACATTTACAATTCCAATCCTTATTTTCATTCCTCCTTGCAGAAAGGAGGGGATTATGCATTAATCACATGAAAGAAGATTTTATTATGTCTATCCTTGACACATCTCTTTCCTTCTACAAACATGAAAAATCTTTTTGGCCAAGAATACAAGGAAGGAAAGGCAATGGCAAAAGGAAGAAGTTTTCAGGAAATATTTGACGTAATTCAGCGAATAACCCAGTTATATTTTCAACTTCTATTTGCTTTAGATGGAATAGTTATTGTCGAAATAAGAAAAGAAAGCTGTCTACAAAATCGACATCAATTGTTTCCATCACCACAGCTACTGTCGAACTCCCCCCTTTCAATTCATTCGCGTACTTTTTTTTTCGTCTGTATTGACATTTGATGTATTATTTAATTTTAAATAAATGTTTACTTCACAATGCAGGAGAATCAGGCAGTGCGGATAGAGGAAGGCATTGTATTGTTACACCTATAAAATGGCATTTATGATTATCGTGAATTGCTTTCTCTCTCACACACTCTTTTTTTGAATTCAGCTACAGAACAATATTCAGTATAATTTTCCTTCCGCTTATTTTTTTTTCGCGCGTCGACTTTTTTTTATATTTTTGCTTGAATGTTATTTTTTCGGATGATACAGAATAATAGTGGAAAAATCCTTGAAGCGTGGGTTTGTGGGGAGGAAGGGACTGAAGCGCATTTGTGGTTTCGAACTTGATTTGAGATATATTTAATACTTTGAATAACTTGAACCTAAATCTCAGTACAACGGTCCGTTTCTAGGGCTATCAGTGCTACCCTAGGCTCTAGTCACAGTTAATTTTATTTATATGACAGAGTGTCATAGTGTTACCTGGGTTGCCATTTAATCTAGTCCAATGTCCAAGTTTGAATAAAACTCCTAGTTGTTTTGCTGGACACTAAACACATGAAAACTATAATGTCAACCTATCAACTCTAAGGCTCGAAACCTAATAATGCAAATTTGAAGCTCACTTTAATCAAATTGACTTTAAACCCAGCCTCGCATCATTAACTTCCAAGCTAGATGATAAAATAATATTGCAGAAGAAGTTCGAATCCCATACTAAGCTGTGCTTCAAAATATGTGATTCTAATCATATCTGTCACTAACACATTAGCCACCAATCGTTGCTTTCTCTTTTTATCCCTGAATAAGCCTCGAATCCCTGTAAATTCCCTGATCCAAATACCCTCATATTTTCCATCAAAAACCCAAAAGTGCATAAAAATCACAAAAATTATCCTTCAAAATTCACGCTATAAATGCCTGTACGAGAGACATGCTGGAGGTGAGGTAATAAAAAAAATAACTGGCGCGCAAAATTAAATGGCACCTAATTGAATTTTTCCTGCAAATTGTACCAGCCATTGTAAGATATGTTAATGTTATTTTTATAATACAGCAAAAAATATACAAAAATACAGCAAATTACTAGCACAGCAAAAATCGAAATAATAATAATAAAAAAAATATGGAAAAAATTTTCAGAAATATTAACATCTAAATGACAGTTTAATAACAAATGGCACAACGAATTGAATCCAATTTTTTTTTTATTCCATTTTTTTTTGTCGAAAGTGAAAATTAGAAAAAAATAAATAAATTCTGTAAAAATTTTTCCTGCTTTATACTTCAACCTAAAATCAATTCCCTTCCTATCTACTAAATAATAATAATAAAATACACATATTTAAATATGAATATAGAAGTAGAAATGAAATCAGAAAAATAAAAATCGATGTTTACACGTAAATTTCTACCTGCCTTATTTTCCTGCCAAAAAACATCATTAATTTTTCTTTCTCACTCACTCGCTGTTTTTTCACATTTTTCAATGCAATTTTTTTATTTTTTTTTTTCGGAGGGAATTGGAATGTGACGATACTTGTGATGTATTGAAGTCAGTCTGTCTATGAACTGAGATCCTTAATGTTGGGTATTTAGTCTGACGTCCTTTTTAGCCTATTTAGACGCTGTATAGTGGAAAATTAACTAGTTTGCACGGTTTGTGCATTACAAAAGGAACTGATGTACACAAAAATGTGCCTAGTCTCAGTGAGTTTGATCTAGAAACCATTATTCATGTAAATTTAGTCTCAAGGCTTTTTAAAGCACTGGAGTCAGATTTACAGAAAGTCCTTAATGTATGCGCTACCTGTGGTTTAACTTAGTGTCTTGCCAGTAATTTAACAAAGATCAATATCATCAACTTGGGTCTTCTTCAGCTTAAAACATTCCTAGCCACTAGAGTTTGAGACTAATATGTAAGACTTAAGCTATTTTAATGGTGCGAAATGTAGAATAAATCTGAGTAAACCGTCTAAGGATGTTAAAATGATTCAATAGTGTTGGATATAAAAGATCTTGCATTAACATCTAAAATCTGTTTTTTTATAATAAAACATACAAACATCCATTAATCAGTTTACATTCCTAAGCTACTTTGGATGTTTGGTTTATTCAAATCAACTGAATCAGTAATAAGGCATCCTTAAATCTCTTTTCTGCCAGTTATTCCAAATTCAGTCTCAAAAAAGCGTCATAACCCCCAAACTCTGTAACATAACTTCTCAACTTCCCATCCATATCATTTCAGAATTGATAATTTTCTGTTTCGCTGTACTTACCTTCACTCCATACACTGAGAATATAGTTGTAGCTAGTTCACAGAAGGTGAAATGTCTTCCATTTCTCTCTGAATGTTTATATATATTTTCATTTTGACTTAAATATCTATTTATTTCCACCCCATCCATCGACCATGCTACAGCAACAGCGAAAAAA